AGCTGTTGGCCTGTCTGCCAGTCTGTCTGGCAGACCTCCATGGATGTGCAGCTTTCCTTGCCTCAGCCTAGCAGCTCTCCCCCCACGTCTGCCTCACCTAATCTTCAAAGCTGAGCTCCTGCTCACAATAGCTTCACCGTGGCCATACCCATTAGCGACGGGGGTGTTCCCCTAATGAGCTACTCCCCTGCCTTGGCTGGCGCCGGGCTAGCCACACCTGTTTGCCATCAGGGCTGTCTCGGGCCGAGCCAGTGTGGCTCAGTTGCAGGTGGTAGAGCTGAATGAGGGGTGGGGTGGGGAAGGCTGGCTCCTTTTGCTTTGTGCTGTGTGCTTATGGGGGTGAGGGGCAGTTTCTTACACCCCCGTTTCCTCTATATTGTTCTCTTCTTTCTAAGCGGGGGGAATGCTCTTTGCTTTCTTTTCTGTTATTCAAAAGGAGTAATAAAGGAACTTGAGTATCTTGTCTCTTCTAATTTTCCCCTGGATGGAGTAGAGAGGATCTGGCTAGGGTCTGAGGGTAGGGTTTGTTCATCTGTTCTGGTGACCCTGAGGGGCTAATGTGGTGATAGCAGGTCACATGATAAATGCCAAGGGTGGACCACCTTTCTGGCCTTAGACCCCTAGTCTTTGGAAAGCAATCATGTCCCTTGAGCCCACAGGCAGGATTGGGGGACGCTTCCTTAAAGGGGCCTCTTGCATTCATGAAACTGAAGGAACTTTTGATTTGGTTGAAAAAAATCTCATTCCTTTTTATGGCCTGGACATAATTGGCTCTTTTCTATTGGCCATCAGTGATGTCATTCCGGCCCTCATAAAGAAGGGGAAATCACACCTGTGGACTCGGTGCATAAAATTTCATTGGGCAGCAGTAATAAGCATGACCAGATGATGTTTGGGCAGTTGGGTTGCTTTGTGCCCAGTGAATCCAGCTGCATGGAGACCTGGGCACCATAAACCTGCCTGCACATTCATGCCCGCAGGCTAGTCCAGGGCCCACTGCCAGTGGCTCTTTTCTTGGAATCAAGATCTGGTAGGAATGTACAGCATTCAGACCCTTTGTCCCTGGGGCACTTTTTTTTTTTTTTGACAGTTTGGTGGAACCATGTACCCACTGATACCCACTGACCTTAGGCGCTTAAGAACCTTGAACCCAGGCGTGGCCTTGAGCAGTGACCACTACGCTACTTGCTTCTCTAAGGCCCCAGGCTTTGCCTTCCCAGGGACTGTAGAGAACCCTGAGTGTATCTATACAGCTTATGCCTGTGCAGTCAGAAGCTTTGGGTTCCATTTCTAGTACGACCCTTGGCTTGTTGTTTGAGCAAATCCTTTTCTTCTCTGAGCCTCAGTTTCCTCTTTTGTGTAAGGGATGATGACCACTGTAACCCACCTTCCTCACAGATTTTCTGTCTTGATCCTCTCTAAGCTGGGGTAGGGTGTGTGATAGAGATATGTAGCTGTCTTCCCATGAGGCACCTGCGAGCTCAAATTCTGGCATTTGGTCCTATGTCTCTCATGAAGATGGGGCTGGGCCCTGCCACATTTGTATGGCTTGTGTCTTGGAGTCATAGGGCTAGGACCACCCAGAGGACTACTCAGCAACCTGAATCCCTGTGAGTGAATCTGCAAACTGCGTGTGTACCTGCAAGTCGCTAGAGCCCCTGAGTGAGAGTGATAGTGCCTAACCCCCATGTGCATCAGTCAGACATGGAATTCAGAATGACACTCAGGACTGCTGCTGAGCCATATCTCAGGCTGAGTATCCAACCTGACAGTCTGGTCTGTCCTCAGTGTGGCCCCTCTGGGATAGGTCTTCCTCTGAGAAGGATAGGTATGATCCCACTGACCTAGACCCTTCCTAGACAGTGGAAATGTCTACAGCTGTGTCTTCCCTTAAAATTCTGCTAAAGAGAGAGCCCCTTCTTCTCCCAGGGCTAGCCAGAGCCAAAAGGACTGCTGGCCTGTGTCAACTAAAAGAGAGTGCTGCAGTTGGCTAGGGGAGAATAAGATTGAGGCTCCCTGCCTTTTGCTGGCCAGTCCCCCTGACTTATTCCCTTTGTAGATTCTGCTGCTTCTGGTGGCCCCCTTCACTCATAGACCTTAATGTGATTTTTCTAAAATAGCTGAGTTCAGCAAGGATTTTCACAAATACCAAGGATAAAGAACATGAAAGAAAGATTGAAGGAAATAGAATTATTGTCAGATTACAGTTCTGCTTTTTAGGCAACCACATTCTAGCTCCTAAGGCTACCTTTCATCCTTAAAAACCTTGCCTTATTTCCTCATGTTCTTGGTCCTTCATCCCACATGGGCACATCTGTCTGGATACCCCTTCATCATCTTGGCCTCAGCCAGAATTTCCCTTCCAGGAAACTGACCAGTTGTAGTTAATGTCACTGTGCCACTTGGATGTTTGAGAGTAACCTGTTCTTCAGGTGAGATATCTTGGGTCTTATAAAAGTAAATCCTTACTATACACTGCCTGAAACAAGGGGATCAATTTTCTATTAGTATCTGTCAAATATTTGAAGGGTAATGGAGGGAAGGCTGGATGGCCTTGAACTTTCTGGAGTGGAATCAGTCATCTTAACTGGATTCTTGTAGCCAAACTTTCTAGAAAAGGATTTTGCACTTGTAATCTCCACTGTCTTATCTCTCACTCTTTCCACACTTTGCAGGTTGCCTTCCGCCTCCCACACTCAGCCCACTGATCCCCCTTTCACGAAGATTATTTGTGACCTTCTCGTTACTAAATCCATTGGGTTTTTCCCAACTGTCATCTTGCTTGACCACTCTATGGCAGTTGACACTAATGACTTACATTTCAAACTCAAAAATCAGTTCTATATATTCCAGAAAGGGGAAGCACGCTTTTATCACAGTTTAGATTGACCACAGGTAATATGAAGTGAGGTCAAAAGAGCATGTCTGACTTTAGGTGTCTAATACTCTGAGAAAGGTCTGGGGCCTTGCCCTTTGGGAATGGGGATAGGTTGGGTAAGTCCTGACTCATGGCATATTGTCTCCTGAGGAACTCTTAAAGTTGATAAGGGTATGTGGGTTGGAGAAGGGTACTCTCATGGAAGTTTTCTAGACTCTCAGATCTTGGAAGGGTTCTGTGAGGAAAAGATGGAAGTCTTTTTCTCTGTATTTTCTAAAGACATACTTTGGACCCACGGGTAGATGTTACAGGGAGACAGACTTTAGTATTTAAGGAAGGATGTTCTAAGAATCGAGTCCAAAATTAGATCTGGCCGCTTCATGAAGTGAGGTCCTTGTGTGTAATGATGGTCTGATGGAGGTAACCTGGTTTCATTTTAGCTCAATAAAACTTGCAAGGCATTAGCCTGGGCCCTCTGCTCACCTTACTCTATACTGTTCCCAGGTGATCTGATTTACTCTCCTGGCTTTAATTTTACTTAGGTTATGTGAATGATTACATTAATAATGATATTAATGATTTGGCAATCTGTATTCTTATTCCAGACCTCTCTTCAAAACTGGATATCCAGTTGCCTCTGAGACACCATTTCACTGCCAAGTATCTCCTAGGCACCTCAAACTCAGCAGACATCGAGTGCTTATTGGGTGTCAGGCATATATCTACAACTGCATTCCCAACCTCATGCTTCCTTCTAGTGGCATACTAAAGATGGGGCAGGGGAGCAGTTCCCCCCGAGTTTGGGCAGAAAGTGGGTATGCTACAGGTAGAGCATTTAAAAACCGTAATAAAACTGATCAAATACTGGCTTGCTCCAGATGTCACATAGGCTCTCCATGCCACTGCGTCCTTCTTTGGATCCATCTTAGTGAGCAGCATGAAGCTAGCAAGCAGAGCTCTACTGTTTTCTCACTGGGTCTCACATTTTATTTAGTCACCGGGGCCTCCTTTACATCTTAATGTCTGTTCCTTGATCACCACCTTTACCACTACTGTTTCTCTCTCCTGGCTCCTACCCTGCTGTTTTAGTCTATTATTTTTGCTGCCTCTAGAACAGTCTTGGTAAATCACAACTCATCAGAGGCGCTCCATTGCCTGTGACAAAGCTCTTCTCTTAGGAATAAGACTATGATCTTTCCTGGCTGCTATTTCCAGTATTGTCTTCCTCCATCCTTGCATATGCCCCCACGCTCCAACTTAAGGCTGTTTTTGTCTTTCTTTCATTGCCTGTACCTCTGAACAAACTGAGCCCTTTATGGGCAAGAGTTACATCTTACTTTTTGACTCGTAAGTTCCTGACCCTCGTTAAGCATCAATGCATGTTTGATTGAGTGGATTTGTCTGAGTAAAACAGCATCACCAACTAGAGGGGGAGATCGTTGATAAATTCTAATTTAAAGAAAAAAAACAAGAACAGATCCTTAAATTCTGACCTCTTCTTATCCTTCTGCCTGGCCTCTTCTCTATCTGAAACAAACCTCTAGCCAGAGGCTTAAATGTGAGCTGAAACCCCTGCTCATCTATCTCTAAATCATATGCTCTGCCTTTCTCTCCTCCTGTCTTGTCTGTCTGCCTCTCTGCTGTAGCAAAACAACAAACCAGTGCATAGAAAGAACATAGGCTTTGGAGTCAGACAGAACTGGGTTCAGTTCTTGGCGCTATCATGTTTTAGCTGTGGGACCTTGGGTAACCTCTCTAAATCTCATTTTCTAGTCTGTAAAATGTAGACAACAGTACCTATGTCTCAGCATTGCATTGAACATGAAATGTGAAAATATAAGGCGCTTGGCATACTGTAAGCCATTAGGAAATAGTGGCCTGCTGCTGTTATTTTGAAAAGAGTTTTTGGGCTCTCACACTTGGATCTGAGGGCTAGAGCTGGAGTCCGGTGTCCATGGTGCTGGAGGTGGGGTCCCTTTCTTTGGTGGGGTGGGACTCATGGCTAATGGATTGATCTTTTGAGGTCTGTTTGTCTCATAGGCTCTGTTGGACTTCCTATCTTAAGACTTCATACCTGGGACATGGATGCGCCCAACTTGTTCTCTCTTCCCTTTTTTTGTAGGCTCCCAGGCCAGTGCCAGTACTTGGGCTTGCCGGTGGCGGATTACTTCAAGCAGTGGATTAATCTGAAAAAGGTACTGTGTCTGAGCCCCAATTGGGTGCTTCCCCTGGTGCTCTTGTGCCTCAGAGCTCCTGTCCTTTGCTTTCTTTTCTTATATCTGTTCTCCTTCCTTTTCTTTTTGTTCTTCTCTTTTCTTAACCTCTTCCTTTTCCTTAGCTAATATGCACTGAAATGTGGTTATTTCTGACAGTGGAGAGCTGCTTGGGGACCAGGCAGCTGGGCAGATTATGACACTGCCCTAGTTGGTGTCCCCCAGACATGCAGAGAAGTCCCAATTGAGGAGATTTTTGGGGGCTCTTGCTCAGAGCTGAGTCTGTGGGCAGAGTGCCTTGTCTATAGGAGAGACGTGGCACTAGCTGAGCCTCTGGGAAAGTATTCTCCTTTGTTGTTATCATGAATGTGGCCTCTGACCCTCCTGCCTGGTCCTGATATATCACTCTGGTTGGGAGGCAGAGTTCATTTAAGTTGGCTTTGTTCCTGCCTTGCTCCAGGAGAGCCTGGTTCATGTGAGGAAGAGCCATGGAATCTAGAGTCCAGTTCCCTTTGGACATGAGGGCAGAGACTGGAACTCATGTAGCATCAAACATCTGGGGAGCTGATGCTGAGGCTATGGACCGACAAGGACCCTGTGTGGCTAGGATAGTGAGCCCTGGAAGAGAACGAATCACTTAGAAAACTGTACTTTCCTAGCAGAGTATCCCTGCTCTAGAGGGATCCTTGCTCTGGGAGGCCCAGTGCACTAGGGAGACTCACCTCCATAAATCATTCTGATCTAAGGGCAGCAGTCCTGGAGCAGCCTCAGGAGCTTCACGCTACCAGTCAGAGGAAGCTCAGAGAAAAGAGAACACACCAGGGGTCAAGGTAGTGGCTCCCAGGGCGCTTAGAGAAGAGAGAGGTCAAGGGGGGTGAGGCTAGGTATGGCGAGGATTTGAGTCTTGACCTGGGCATTCAAGGAAGGTGGGATATGGATAGGAGGAGAAGAGAATGCTTTCTCGGCAGGGAGGGCAGCATGCTTTTGGTGTGTGTGGGGGCTGGAGCTAAGCAAACATGTGGAGTAGCAGTGGAAGAGAAAGCTTTATAAGTATTTGTCCCACACTGACAATGACCTTGGACTTAGTTCCATACTTTGTGGCATCATTTGTGAAGTCCTTTGCTTTCCACTGGTGGACAGGTGCTTTGCACTTGGCTTGTTTGCAGTTTGACTCCTACCCCCCTTTCCTGGTGATCTCCCACGAAACTGGGCAACTGCTGCTTACTACTCCTCTTATGCTGAAGAAGCTAGGCACTGCCCTAGCTTTGGGCCTTGCCCTATGGCCTGCCTTCTGTCTGAAATGTCCCTCAGTCATCTTCATCGACATATTCCCTGCCCTGGAAGATTCAACTCAGTTATCACTTCTGAGAAGCCCAGCAGTCAGTCTCTTGCCTTGAGGTTCCTTGGCACTTGGGAAATCACTTATCTCAGTTGAAATTGAATCCATGTGTACTTCCTTCCACACATGGCCATCTGGATCACAGAGATGAAGTCTGGTTCCTCTCTGTGTCTCCGGTGACTAGGCCAGGGCTAGGTATAGAGTATGTGCTCAGTGAGTAATTGCTGGCTGACGGATTCATCTTTGAGGACTAGTTCCATAGAGGTCCCCCAAGGCAGAGCTAGGCATGTGGGTGGGGCTAGGCGTGTGGGTGTGGTGAGGCATGGACCCTGGAATATAGCATACCGGCTGTCAGAGCACATCTGAGCTGCTTGCTGGCCTCAGCAAATGCAATGTGAAGGCCCGGCCAGGCGAGGCAGGCGCTGACCATGAACAATTACCCTGTGAAGTTCACTAGACTTTTTGGTGTATGGATAGCTCCCTGCCTCCAGGTTCCTTGGCAGAAAGGCAGGAAAGCAGCCAACCCATGTTGTAACATTGCCACGCAGGGTCACCTTGGTGCTGCTGGCCCAAAGGGTGGGGGTAGAGGCAGGCTGCCCAGAGTCTGTTCAGCTTGGTTTCCCTGCAGACTGTGCTGACCTGAAGAGGAAGGGAATAGATACAAGGGGAAACTGAGGACTCTGTTCCTAGTTGGCCTCGTGATTTCGTTGTGTGAGGTAAGCTGAGCAAGTCTGGGAGAACAAGGGGTCTAACCCCTTCCTCTCTGTACTCTAGCCACTTTGTATTGCAAGGGTGCTTAAAGGCCCGACAGGAGAGATGGCTTAACTCTGGACTTTAGCTCAGTCCTTACCAACAGCCATTCAGGACATAGAGGCTGCTGAGTCCCGGAGGCCCAGGGGCATGGTACTCTTTCTGACCTTTATGCTGTGTGACTTGGTGCAGGCTGCACTAAGGTTCCTGCTTAAAAAGAGTAATGATAAAAGCAAAGCCAGAGAGGTCATTGTCAAGGTTGTAGGAATATTATGTAAAAGCCTTACTCCATGCCTTGTGTCCCCTGTGTGACCCAGGCTCTGGTTCTCTACAGGGTCCTCTCCTGTCCTTGATCTTACTTTGTGTTTCTCCCTTCCCTTTCTTCTCTCCTCGTCCTCCACTCCCCCAGCAGAGCATTACTCCTTGAGAAAGGTGGGGAAGGTCCTGGTCTGCTTGGTCACCTGAGACTTGCCTAGTGAGTGAGCAACTGGGGATGAATTCACCATGCCTATTTCCTAAGACCTCTAATCTGAGAAGAGGCAAAATGTCTTTCAGCTGCCCTTACTTCTCCAGAAATGGTGTGGGTTGCATCAGGGAATAGGCACTTTTCAATGGCCAAGTTTCCACATCTCCCGCTGCCACCTACTTCCCCTGTAGCAGAGTGGAGCAGGCCTGTGTTTGCTGACATTTGGAACGTCATTGAATGATCTTATATTCTTATTGAGCTGTCAGCATAGAGAGGACTTGGGGCCCTGCTCCCAGCTCCCTTCAGGAGATCAGAGCTGTCACTGAGGGGCCAGAAGAATAAACACACACACACACACACACACACACGCACATGCATAAATATACACATGTATATGCATGTGAATACATACACCCCAAGTGAGTATACTCCAGATTGCATGTCTGTATCCATACATGCGTTCATGTATATGCACATATTCATACAAGCAGTCACCTGCAGAAGTATTTGGAGACATACCCAGACATGAAGGTGTTTATACATATGTATTCATAAGGTATAAAGATATGTGCACACAGGTAAACAGACATATGTATAAAATATATATATCTTCATCAGTAAATGAATATTCTTTTTTTTTTTTGTGAGATGGGGGATGGGTCTCACTCTGTCGTGCAGGCTAGAGTGCAGTAGTACAAACACGGCTCACTGCAGCCTTGACCTCCTGGGCTCAGATGATCCTGTCACTTCAGCCTCCCAAGTAGCTGGGACTACAGGCGCCCATCACTATGCCCGGCTAGTTTTTGTATTTTTTGTAGACATGGGGTTTTGCCATGTTGCCCAGGCTGGTCTCAAACTCCTGGGCTCAAGCAGTCCGCCCTCTTCAGCCTCCCCAAGTGTTAGGATTGCAGGCATTAGTCACTGTGCCTGACCAATAAATATTTTGAATGCCTTCTGTGTGCCAGGTACTGTGTGAGGGCCTGGGGATATAAGAAGGTAGATGTTGAATAAATAATTTTAGTTGCATTGAGTAACACTAAACAGTTCAGAGTCGTGGATCATATAAGAAGGAGCTAACTTAGTAGGGTGGGGTCAGAGAATTGTTCCCTGAGGAAGGATATCTAAGCTGAGACCTGAAGAGTGAGTTGGAATTGACTAAGCACAAAGTAGCATGTGACGAGAGACTGAGATGAGGAGAAGCCTGGCAACTTTATGAAGCTAGAATGTAAGTTCTAGGAGGAGAAAGAATTTGTGTCTCTTGTTCACTGCTCTACCGCCATCACTCTGAATAGTTCCTGGCACACAGATGTTTAATCCTTATTTGTTGAGTGAATGAATGCCTAAAACGTAGTGAAGGTGGCAAAAGGAGAGTGGCATGAGATGAGGCTAGAAGGAAGTCAGGAGCCTATAGACCACACTTTGATTTTGACCTTGATGTTTAGGGTAAGAGGAAGCTATTAAAGGGTATTAAATATAAGAGGGGTATCATCTGATTTGCATTCTAAGAAAGTTCTCTCTGGCCGTAGTGTAGAAGGAGTTAAGAGCAGATGCAGGAGACCAGTTGCTGGTTTTTCTTTATAGGGCTATGGCATTTTTGGGTGGGACAAATCATTGTGTGGGTGACATTGCTGAACTTGTAGCATCCCCAGCCCCTGTTGATTGAATACCAATAGTGCCCCTCTCTGAGTCATTGTGATAATAAAAAATATCACCCCGTATACATTTCTAGTGGCCTGGCCAGGGTGGGAGTGGAGGAATACTGTCCTTGGTTGAGAACCACAGAATTAGGCTGTGTCTGTGGTCCAGGTGAAAGATGGTAATTACTTGGATTGAACTGATAGCAGTGGAAATGTAGAGAAATGGGCCAATTCCTGAGTATTAAATGGTATAGTCGGTTCTGCTATAATGCAACATATATAGATTTCTGAAAATCACTGTGCTAGAGAAAGTCATGCAATAAAAATTCAGTTAGTGACACATAAAAGAAAAGATAGGAATCTAATAAAAATGGTAGCATAGTTTTATACATTAATGCTTAAGAAATACATAAATACCACAATAAATACGGTACTTTACTCTGTAAAACCCCAAAGTTTGCTTATAGAAATGGGCATGAGAAGGGTTGCAGCTTGTGAGTTATTGTGAAGTAGTGGAAGAAGATCATCTGAAATCAAATGGAAAATTGTAACCAGATGAATGTGGTCCATAACATGCAGTGATCTAGGTGACTGGTAGATGTTTAAGACGTGTGCATGTATGTGTTTTATATATTCCTACCCAGCCCTGTTCAGTAAGGTATAGTTTCCTGTGTTTATCTAGTGTTTCTTGTGAACAAAATTGCACATAAGCAAATGTAAAATTTGTGTTACTATAAATTGTTCCCAATACGTCAGTTGCATCGGACAACTTTGCTCTTTCAACGAGTATTATAGTAGCACTGATTGTATAATAAACAGGAAATGGTGATTGGTTGTGAGGGTTGAGGATGAAGGAGGAGACCATGATGACCCCGGGATTTATGATTTGAGCAACTGAACTGGAATGAGTTGACTGAGATAATGGGAGAAGGAGAAGTTTCAGGATTGGAAAAGAAGGTGAAGTCAATGTGGGGCATATGAGTTAAGATGATTTTGAGACATTGAGGAGGCAGTTAAGTACATAGGTCTGGGGCTCAGGGATGAAGCCTAGATAAGAGATGTAGATTTGAAGACCAGGCATGGTGGCTTATACCTATAATCCCAGTGCTTGGGGAGGCTGAGGTGGGAGGATAACTTGAGGCCAGGAGCTCAAGACCAGCCTGAGCAACATAGTGAGACCTCATCTCAACAAAAAAATTAAAAAATTAGCCAGACTTGGTGATGCGTGCTCGCAGTCCTAGCTACTTGGGAGGCTGAGGCAGAAGGATCCCTTGAGCCCAGGAGGTTGAGGCTGCAGTGAGCTATGATTGTGCCACTGCACTCTAGCCTGGAGTGCAAGACCTTGTCTCAAAGAAATAAAAAAAATTGGCAGTGTTATTGGTCTGTGATTGATAATTAAAGCATGAAAGTGGATGAGATTGCCAAAGAAGAGGGTATAGGGTGAGAAGAAAGCCTAGGACTGAGAAATATCAACATTTGCGAGATAGAGAAAGAATAGTCAAAAATAGAAAGAAAATATAATAAATAGTCCTGAATTACAGATTGCATTTTGTGTGCTAGACCTGTGTTTTCCAACATAGTTTCCACTAGCCACATGTGGCAGTATATCACTTGAAACATAGCTAGTATGACTGAACA